AGAGACTACATTTTTCTTATCTTACAATGGTTTGGAAAAGTAAAATTCTAGCTTCAGTATACGAGGTTTTTCATACAGTGTTTCTATATTATGTATGCCTATCTAGAAAGATTGTGAGGATAACGCAAAATATAATAAATGATATCTTTGAGGACAAAAGTATCCTCCCCTGCTTTTATTAATTGGGGGTTTTTATTATAAATTGTGACACAAGGAACTCAGATCTGTTCAGAAGGCCTGTTCAGTCACAGTTCTGATAAAAATCGGTTGACTGAGAGGCGTGTTTCTCAGGGATCCCCTGGGCCCCGGATTTGCACAGCTTCCCTTTCCTGTCTACACCTTGAGTAGCTTCCTTCAAGGGCGGGATAGCTGGAGGTTCTTGCTAGTATGCCTCAGAACAGAATCTAAGCGCTAGTAGTCTTTGTAGATGCTAGTAGGATGAGAAGGAAAATCCCTGTTGCAGCTACTTTTCTCACGTGGCTGGGACAACATCCAAAATTAAGGAAGGAAAGGCTTATTTAGGTCACAATGGAGGTTTCAGTCCATACTCCGCTGTTGCTAAGGCAGAGTGGCACATGGCAGAGGGCAGCAGTTCATGGGCGTGGAAAACAGCAAAGAGCACAAGGGAGGGGCAGGAGCTACAGCTAGCAAGCCTCTCAAGGTTCCTCATTGTGTGCAGATTGCCCACCCCGGGGCAGTGTGACACTCAGCCATAATCCCAGCATTGGATCCTAAATTATAAACTAGAAGCTACCCCAGTGACTGTGTGAGGCTTTGGGGAGACACCTAGACACAAACCATAGCAATCCCCAATCAGAAGACGAACATAAAGTACCTCTTAAAAAGTAGAGATAAAAACAAAGTATAACAAAAAAAAGACATCAGAATTAAGGCCAATGTAACTTTTTATTAAAGTAAGCGTAGGGGCTGGTGAGATGGCTCAGTGGTCTAAAGCACCTACTTAGAACAAACTTAGTCAAAGCACAGAGACTGCGGTTCAATCCCCAGCACCACATGCCAGCCAGCCCCACCCACCGGTGGGCTGAGCTGGCCACACACACACACAAATAAATAAAATTTTAAAAAATTTAAAAAAGTAAGCATAAAAGTAAATGTAAAAGTGATAGAACCTATTTCTTAAAATCTCAGATTAAAATTTTAGAAACTAATACCAATAAAATACATAAGTTTTACGTATTACTATATTTAGCCATCAAATTGATAAGATTATAAATAGAAGTTTGTGTGGATATATGTGGAGTACTAGAAGTTTGTACTGTTTTCTCTGGGAGAGACTTAACTCTTTCCATCCTGTACCAAACTCCTAATAGCTTTGAACACTTAATTCTCCTACCAAGAATTTTAGGACCATACTTAACATACGTACATACATGACAATGTTTGTTTTGGGATTTTTTTTTTATTTTATTTTAGTAAGGGTCTACAGGGTCTTACTATGTAGATTGGACTTGTGCTCCACCTGTGGTCAGCCTCCCAAGAGCTGGGATTACAGGGGAGTGCCCTGCGGGCAGGGCCAGCGCCGCATGCCTGGGACCCCCAGCCGCGGTTCCTGGTTCCCGCGTGAGCAGGCGCTTTAATCCGCTGAGCTATTTGGCCAGCCCTTGTTTGGAAATTTCAAGTAGAAGAATAATGTATGTGTTGTTCTGCACTTTGATTTCTTTTTTTTTTTTTTTTTTTGCTCCGAATGCCTTCAGGGCAGGCTTGGCTGGCTTGAGTTGTGGGGATGGAACTACAGCCACCTGAGCCTGACTGCTTTGTGGAAGCAGCCACTTAGAGAGCTGAGCTAAGAGGGCCGGGGAGATGGCTCAGTGGAATAAGCGCTTCCTTGGCAAGTGCAAGGGCCTGAGTTCAATCCCTGGTTCCTGAAAAAAAAAAAAAAAAGGAACTGAGCTAAGGGGCAGGCCCCCCTTGATTTCTTGTTGAATGTTTTATATATTTGCTTTCTCTCCTTTGATAATTTTTTGGCCATTTGAGAGTATGTAGCAAGGCGTCGTGTTTTTTGCCCTTAATGCTATGTATGTACACCCTAAGAGCAGGCACACTGTGTTACCTAAGTGGCGGTCTCAAATTCAGAAATTTCACATTGACACAATGCTTTGATACACAGTCTATATTCTAATTGCATTTGTCCCCTCAGTGACTTTAGCTGGAGGACCAGTCCAAGATCACATTGCATTGTCATGACTGTTTCCTCGTCCTTTCTGTGTCTTGTGTAACACTGATAAACATGTGAGACCCTAACAAACAAGAACACCCCTCGGGTTCTTACCCAGCTCTGTCCAGTTAGATTCAGGTTGTGCGGCACGAGTGGGAGTGCTGTCTGCCCACGCCCTCGGTTTCACGTCTCCCTTGGCCCCTTACGTGTGACGTTAACTTGGATTGCGTGGGCAAGCTGGTCTCCTGTGTCTGCCCACTTACTGTGTTGCTCTTTGCCAGTGCTGGGTAACTTTGAGGCCAGTGGACACATCTGTCCCTCGTCACACCTGCCTGTCCTAGATTTAGCATCTTTTCATCATTGTTACCTGAGTAATCTCTACTAGAATGTTTACAAAAATATTGGCAAAATTTTCTAACTCTAGTAATTTTTTTTTTTTTTTTAGTTTATTAGTTGTTATTCTGCAAGGAAGAATTTTTCCTTTATCATCAGTTTAGAATGTAGCCTTCTAGGGCCAGGGATATGGCTCAGCAGGACAAGTGCCTGCCTGGCAAGCACAAGGTCCTGAGTTCAGTTACTACTACTGCTGCTAATAATAGAATGAGCCCTTATTTTTTTCCTAAATTCTGAGTGTTCATTACAGATGATGTCTCTTTATTGCCACATACTTTTTAAATTTGTATTTCCTGAGAGTTAAGGGTATTTTCCCATTTAACCGCAGTACAACTAACAAGATCGTAATATGAACATTAGTTACAATACTGTTGCCTAATTTCTTCTTTATTTCGCTGCCTCTTTTGTAGGAAAAAAAAAATCTAGTCATGGATCCAATCTGGATAGTAGCATTATGTTGTCACCACGTCAGTGGTTATCCGAACGGCTCTCAGTGAGTCTTTCAAAAATGCCACAGCCGTAACGCACGTAGACCAGACGTTTTGTAGACTGTCCCTTAGTTGGGGCTTTCTGCTGTTTCTTCATCATTAGACTCGGAGCATGCACTTTGGGCAGGAATGTCACGGAAATGCCACAAAGGTGTCAATTTTGTGGCATCTACTAGGTCTCTACTGTGAATTTCTGAGGGGTTTTTGTTATATTAGTAAGCATCTTGTGGGAGGATATTCTGAGACCATAAATACCCTATTCTCAAAGTCTCTTACACCAATTTTAATGTATAGTGATATGTCTTGGCCAGAATAATTGTTACTTGT